AGCTAGAGAAAAGACTCATTTAGGTTCTTGAATGGACGACCTATTTGATCAAAGTGTTCAAGATTGAGTCCATTGCTATATAATTGGATAGGTTGAAAAATATCTCAATTGTTTCAAGTGTTTTTTCCAATCTTTTGGAGTCAATAAAGAGAATTCTACAAATTTTGGAGTAAATTGGAGTTATCTACAACTTGAGGGGCGCAAGACCAATATTCCACTTTTGGAAGGGCGTTCAAGACATTTTACTTCAATATTTGGAGCTGAATTTTGAGAATTAGAGTATTATCTAGTCTAGGAGTTATTTTCGAATTTTATCTAGTTAAATAAGTCATGTGGACTGAATTAAACTAGAGTGTTTTGATTAGTAGTCATTTAGATAAGGTTTTCTAGATTTTAGATAGAGTCAAATAGATCTAATACTCTTCTACTTCTACTCCTGCATGAGATAAGATTAGAGAGTCCTAAGTGGTCTTCTTTTTTGGTGCTTTGGCCGAAATTGCTAGCCTATAAATAGGGGGGGGGGGTATGGCCGAAAGATAAAGCACCCATGTGTGGTCATTTTGAGTCTTCTCTAATGAGAGTTTTTCCTGTGAGGAATTTTTGTTAAATGGTGTGTCCATTTTTTGTGTCAAGTATGATTTAACCTAGAGGGTTTTCATCTTGTCTTGGATCTTTTGATCTTGCAGAAACCGTTCTTTTTCAAGTATGCTTCTTGATAGAATTGTTTTAAAACTAAACTTCTTATTTTCATACTACTTCTAGTAGTTCGAGAGTTGAGCCTTTCTTTTGGCTGTGGTTTTCGAATTCATGATGTGTGTGTTCATGAGTTCCTTTGTGGGATTTGTCCTACTTTTGTTGGATGAGTTATGCTTTGGCATAAGCATTTTGAGATAGTGTATGTGTTGCATATCTTTGTTGGTTATAGAGACTACTAATCAATAGTATTCCTTCATAGTCGAGCATTGTTTGCTCCTACTTTTCTTGAGTCTCTTGAATGATAACTAATCGAGTATATTGAATGGTGTCCTTACTATTCTTAGTGTGGGTTGTTGTTTAATTCAAATCTTTCATAGATTATGTGTTTTTTGCTTGGTTTGAGTTAAGAGATAGAAATCCTTAGATAAACGATCGTCTTATTGTGAATTTTTCGCACTCTTTTGAGTTTCACGGGATAGAAAAATTATCTTCGTACTTTCTTGTTTGATGGTTGCATTAACGAAATTTGCTTCATCTACGAGATTGCTATCAAATGTTGTGATTTCTTCTCAAATGTTTTTTCTCGTCACCACTATATAGTTTTATTTTTCACGTAAATTTATTCTTTTATAAATTCTTGTTTTCATGTTGCAGGATTGTGTTAACGCAAGGAGTTACAGAGCTCCAGTACTACGCATGTCATTTTTCTCTAAGGTGTAACCAACAATTTCTCTCGTAAGTATATTAAGGAAAAGAATTTTCTAAGCTAGCTGGATGGGAAGGTTTAAGACACAGATCCTTACCCATTTGCTTATTATCATTTTTTTTTATCACATAGAGGATAAAAACATAACTGGTATAGTTGGTGGGATTGGCCTTATTCTATTTTCATGTGTAATTTTAGTTTTGTAGCATGTTTCAAAGCATAATTTGGCGATCTCACAATTTGTTTTTGCATCTATATTGCTTTAAAAATTCATTGGAACACTAACCAGGTTCGTCCAATGTGGACAGAGCCAAGTTCATCTGAGGAACTTTTACAAAAAGAAGAAACTTGTCGAGAAGGCTAAATAGGGGAAGGAAGAACGACTTCGAGATTTGCGAGCACATATAGAGGATTGCATAATCTCGTTCCTCATGCTGACGATCTCATTCCAAGGCTTTTGTTATGTGTAATATGTTTTTGTCGATCATCAGAAGGATTGTGGTTTTTATCATTTTTATGTACTTTTAGGTATTTTCTACAATTTATCATTGCTTTCTTCTCCCATAATCTCATATTTAGCCTTGGCTTGTAATTGGTGAATAGTTAATTGTGCTTTCAAAATTGGGCTAAAGTCTATGTAGTTTTGCCTACGGATTTCTAATTACTTTTTGCTGATGGTGTTTTTGGCTGAATCTAGGATGTTACATTTCCCTTTTGATTGAAGGTAAATGAGTAACTTTTCATTCCTTTGGTTATTCTTTCAGATTATGATAAAAAAGACACAACTGGTTTTTATGTTGGCCTTCATAAAAATATTGCTTTTGGTGGAAAAGACAAGAAACAAAGTGACCGTCTCAACAGCCCTACCTCAAACCCAAGGCTCGTTTTTCCCTTCTGCCAATGAATGTCAGTTCAGTTTCATCATGGCTTGTTATGAGGAAAGCCCATCCAATTCTCTAGACAAATTAGCCCTTTTTTTTAAAGGAAATTCAGGGCGGTATCTGACAGACATTCCCCCGAATTGAAAAGAAAAATTATAAGGGATAGTGCCTAAGATTTACCCAAAAGGAAGAACCGTATTACAAAGATTATCTAAAATCCCATGACGGTTCTGATGCATTCTAGAACTAAGACCTGTCTTACAAAGATTTCTATAATCCCTTGATAGTTCTGTAGACTTATAAATTAAAAGTATACTACGATATTATTTTACAAAGATCATTCAAAAATCTCGTAACAGCTCCTCTAGAATAGAAAATTGACAAAGAATCTAAAACCTAAACACCAATATATTTTGCTACGTTATTCATATATATGGAGTAGCTTGTTGTTCCAAGAGTAACAAACCACGAGTGCTAAATACCGATGAAAGATAAAAGAAGACAAAAGAGTGTTAAATACCTTTGAATCCACCAAGATCATTTCAATGGAGGTTGTTTTAGCAGGATTGAACTTATTAGATTGTTTCCAAACACTCATAATACGTACCAGCAAAGATTCATCATTCTCAATGGATGTGATATCATCAATGAAAAAATTGTCAGCCGCTTGGATTGGATTAATGACTTCTTGTAAGGTATTTTTTCTCTAATTTAGATAAATTGTCTGACAAAAGAACTGAGCGAAGTTGTATTATAGAAAAGCCTTCATCTTCTGTCTCATCAACCACGATCGAGAAACTCACCATGAATTTCATTTTTGAGGGATCGTGTTTCAATCCTTGCAATTCAGAGAATCAATCATGGGTTTGACAATGGTGAGAGAGGGATTGGTGGTAGAAGATGGAGGTAGAATAACTCGGAAGAAATGTGGGTCTTTGGAGGCAGGATTTTGTTTTCCTGCGTGAAGTAAGTTTTTACAATTTACTTTTAAAAGAGAGTGCGCTGAAGAATATCAGGGAGTTATGGTAAAATTAGAAAATTGTGATAAGTGAGAAAATATTAGTTTTATGATTAACTTAAGTGGTAAGAGTTTAATGGTTTTATTATAGTTTTACTATTTTACTTTAAAATGAGGGGAAACCATTGAAGGATATAATGACACATAAACTTTTACCATTTTTGTGGGTTTTCTCATAATAGGATACTAGTTTATTAGCCTAGGGTGTTGCCCACTGTTTAGCCGGACATTGTTTAACAACAGAATATATAATTATGAAAATAAAATCAATGATGAGCTCTATAAAGCAGATTCATGAATAGATGAAATAAACTGTTGATGATATTTTTGCATTGAATCTGATTATTAGAAAATTAAATTTGAGAAAATAATAATTGATCATTCAAATAGAAGTATTCTACAGTAAATTTAAGATTCTGCATAAAATTATGAGATTTCATTTTCTTATTAACTCAAAATTACGTCATATTGTTTCCGAAGTTTATGCGGAAAAATATTTTTTGTGAAACTGTTACTTGCTTTTTGTGGCAACTGCTTTCAATAAGTGTAAAATAGATATACAGTCAAGCATCTATAAATTAATTCTTTTAGGACCCCCAAAAAATTATTAATTTATCAATAAAATAATAATTATTTGATAAAAGTTTTGGAGATATTGTAGCTAGTGTCAACAAAACTTTTATTTAGGATAAAAATAATGATGGTTCAGTGTTTTCAGAACCAAACACACGAATAGAAATACGTAGTGAGACAATAACTCTCTTTAAATGTTAATGCTGAAAGCAATAGAAAAAAAAATCAAAGATGAATCTTTTTAGTTGTAAATTTCAAGAAAAAAAAAACATACATTAATAAAATTATATTTTACTAGCTCTTTTTTTTTTAATATTTCAAGTCAATATTAATTTATGTTATTGAAGGAACTTATATTTATATAAAATTTTTCTGAAAAATTATTATTTTATTATTTTATGAGTTGTTTTTGTTTTTTGTACTGATCCCATACTTAGAAACAGAAGAAATTATTAATTCATAGATATTCTACTTTAGATAGATACTCCCTCCGTTCTAAAATAAGTGTCATTCTAGAGTTTGCACACAGTTTAAGAAAACATTAAATATGGTAATTAAATTAGTAGAATATCATCAACCAACCCCATTGAAATAAATGTTCACCAAAGGTATGTTTGGAAATTTTTGACAAAAAATACACTGGAATCTGAAAACGACACTTATTTTGGAATTTTTCTATTTTGCTAAAACGACACTTATTTTGGAATGGAGGGAGTAAAAAATATAGAGTATAGATAGATGGGTCTTTTCCCTAAAAAAAATTTAATTAAAACAAAGGTGGACAAATTTAAATTTTTCAGAATATTTGTGGACATGAATATATCCCACGGATTTCCGAAATCCGAGTTATATTTAAAATTGAGAACTCGGATTTCCGAAATCCGAGTTTACCTCGGATTCGGATAATTAGTTTTAGTTTTAATTAAAATGAATTCGGATTTTCAAAATCCGTTTTCTATTAAATTCGGATTTCCGAAATCCGAGTTTACCTCGGATTCGGATTTTTGAAATCCGAAGGATATAGATTTGTCCACAAAAATTTCAAAAAAATTAATTTGGTCTACCTTTTTTTAAAGAAAATTGTTTAGGTCAAAAACTCATAGATAGATAGATAGAATTTTTTTTTTTTTTTGGGCCTTTTCCAAAGTTTCAGAGTTTTTTTATTGAAGAAACCCACAACAAGAGTAAAATGCCATTTGCCAAGTGCCGAAGAACCCGCCTGAGTTTGCGATTGCCATGACTTCCCATTTCACACTACTTTCTCTGATTAGCCTCACTCCTCTTCAAACCCACATCACACAAGTGTTCCCATTCCTAATAAAGTAAAAACAAAATGCGGGAAGAAGGAAAGCAAGGGATCGGATAATTTGTTTATCACGTGCATGTCAATATCAACCTCACATGCTAATCTTTATCAACCACCTTATACTATTCTGTAAAAAACCCAATTTCATGGTCTAATTGGGCCCTTCTTCCCCGGTTTTTCCTTGATCCAAGGACCCTTTTTCGTTTTATTGAACAATTTCTTTTCATTTTAGGAAAAAATTGGCCCTTTTTTAATTGAGTGGCGCCGGAGTTTAATCCTTCAAAGTTTGCAATTTTAGTTTTCCGATGTATCTTTCATAAATTTTCGTCTTTGGACTCTGGGATTCGATCTTTTCTGTATTTGGGGGGTACTGAAATTGGATTTCATGAAGTGATAATTGCCGGAATTTTTTTTGTTCTGAGGTGAAAGGATTCTGATATTGTGACATCACTGCCATTTATTTGATTGGATCAGATATGGAATCTACAGATTCAAGTTCGTTCTTGAGGTATGAATTTACGACTATTCATTTTCTTTTTAGATGGGCTTTGCATTTGATGATACTGCCATCTGAGTGACTACTGGGATTTCCTTTACTTTTTTTGGAGTGTTTTATGATTTTATGGTTTAAGTCAAAATCGTTCTGCTGCTACCATGCTATTGCACTATAGCAAGTACTGAACTGTTCTCTCCCCCCCCCTCAGTATTGCCAGTTATCAAACTTTCTTTCACTGTTCATTTGTTTGTACCTTTGTTGTTACTCTTTTGTTCTATTTAGAGCTACAATAGCTCTCTATTATTTTCTTTCTACTGAATGGATGAATCGTGACAGAGAGAATTTTTTTGTTTGCTTTGTTTCTTCTTACTTTCCTGTGGAAAGCTAGTGAGTTTTCTTTCCCCTTTATGAGAACAAATGGTGGACTGATGATTCTTGTGAAGTGATTTGATTGATACTTCCAGCTTGCTCTTTAGATTGCTCTTCTTTTCACTTTTTTATTTGTATTTTTATTTTTTTAATTTTTTTTGAGGTTGTGTGTGTGTGTTCTCTTAAAACATAGGAATACAAATGATTGAAGAATGAAATGCTCCTAATGAATTCTTCTATGATTTAATTCCATAATGTAGTTTTTTTTTTTTTTTTGGATTTGGTGTGCTTTCTTTCAGAAACTTGTTCCTGTGGATTGCATAACTAATATATGAAGATGTGGTAATGCAGTTTGACTGCTGCACTCTCGTATGGCATTTCGTCCATGGCAATGGTTTTCATCAATAAGGCAGTACTGATGCAATATTCGCAATCCATGACTCTACTTGCACTTCAGGTAAACCATAACTGTGGATTGGGTTGGTTTGTATTGCTTCACATTGTTCGAATTATGATCTCGTCATTGACTAGGATTCTGTTTGCTATCATTGAGCTATGAGCAGCAATTGGCTACTACTTTGCTGATACACTTTGGTAGAGTCATGGGATACACGAAAGCAAAAGGACTGAATATAGAGACAGCAAAAAGACTAGTATTTGTTTCACTATTCTACAATGCAAATGTAGCATTTGCTTTAGCTAGCTTGAAAGGTGTAAATATTCCAATGTATATTGCCATCAAAAGACTGACGCCACTTGCAGTACTAATAGCCGGATTCTTTACTGGAAAGGGGAAACCTTCACATCAGGTTAGTAATCCAGCAGGCTCTCATATACCTTCCAATGTAGGAGTAGCATTCTTTTGTTGCATCTCCTGAGGCATTATTGCATCTTGGTACTTGCCAGAGTTTATATATGATTCCAGGATTTATGATACTGGAGAATAAAATTCCTTTGACCCTCTTGAAATTCATGTTCTTGTCATCTCAATCTGATATGTTGATTTTTTATCTCTCTGGATCTTCCATTATTGCCTAATATGGAAGACAAACAAACTTGGGCAGCTAGTTGTGTTTGAGACTTTAAAATATTGAATGCAAGGACTACAACCTTTGAGGCGGCAATCTTATATGTGGAGTTGATTATATGTATCGTATCTTGATCAGTGCTCTGTCCAACCACACTTTCAAATGTCTTTTCTGTATTCCATTCTTTCTGTCTTCTTTCCTTTCTGTTTTTAACATGAAGAACTGTAGATGTTATGGCTGTCTCATGATATTTAACTTTCAATTTCACCAACATTTTACAATGACAATGTCTTCCAAGATAGAAGAATGTTTTGTGTAACACATGATGAGTCTCCTATTTTCGTGAAGCAAAACATTCTAAACCTTAGTTGTTTTTAATTTGTGCACATCCATTTTCCACAGTTTGGATAAGAAAATAACTTTTATCAAAGAGGCTGTTTCATTTGAATTGAGCTTTTGGTCAGTTGAATTCGAGATGCTCGTCTGGTTAGAGTTGCATAATGAATTGAGTCCCCCTTGTGAACTTGCAATTTAAATGTTTGATTTGACTGAGTTCATTTTAAATCTCGGCTTGGGGGGTTTCTTCAATTGCAATTCTCTGTGTCCGTTTGAAGATCTCTCCATGCCTAATAGTTGCATAATTCATGATTAATGCTTCTTTCTTATTTCTCTTTTTTTTTTCTTTTTTTTTTCAGGTAACTCTTTCGGTTATCCTGACAGCTGCCGGGGTTATTATAGCAGCGTTAGGTGATTTTACTTTTGATCTTTTTGGATATAGCATGGCCCTTACATCCGTTTTCTTCCAGGTATTGCATTACATAATTATTTTGGTCTTTTATGCTATCATTCACCTTTGGAGTTGATAATTTGACTGCCTTTGACAAAGCTTTTTTCTTATCCAGACTATGTACCTTGTGTTGGTTGAGAGGTCCGGAGCAGAGGATGGGCTTTCCTCAGTTGAGATCATGTTCTACAATAGTTTCCTGTCGTTACCATTTCTCCTGTTTCTCATCATAGCTACTGGAGAATTTCCAAATTCTTTGTCACTGTTATTTGCCAAGGTTTGGATCTCTCTCTGTCTCTCTCTCTCTCTTTCTCTCTTAATGTTTTTTTTGGTACCCCTTTTTACATATACCACAAGATCTTAAATGGCCACAGTGAGGCTTTGTTTAGATCTCAGTCACGCTCTTAGTCAACCTATATACACGAGTTGCAGTGAACTTATTTCGAAAGAACAAAAAACAGGAGTTGCTGTGAACCTGTTATTGAACACAATAGTTAGTGAAGCTATATTCCCCGAGTCCCTGACCCTAAGGCATACAAACAACTGCAAGTGCTTGATGAACTAAAATGCTGAACTCAATGGTGCTTGCCGAGCTCCTTGTTCGTATTAGCAGTTTGGATTGGTTACAAAAATGTGCGAATCTCACATTTGTAGCATTCCTCCATTAGACAAGCTTCTTGTTTTGGGAGTATTATAAGAAATCATTGCTTTTACAAGTTACTGAAGTGAAAATGTTGCTTTTTGTAGTTGCTGTAAGATCTTATAAAAAATTAATTAAATCCAGTCTTTCTTTCCTCATTTTGGCCATGCTTCCAGTGATCAATTTAAATATTTTGCAGTTGCTAGTCAATGAAGATTTAGGATTCTCTTCATAACACTGCATCCACATCTCCCTGTCCCAGGCGATGAAACCAATCCTCTCTCTCTTTTAACCTAGCTATATTTAGATGTTGCCTTTGGTTGTTTTTCGGCATGTTCCATTTTTAGCACTAGATTTGGTCTTAATACCTTTCTAACAGAAAAGGAACAAAGCTATTCCCTCATTTTCCCGGCATCTGCTTAAGTAATTATTTTTATGCCAGTTCCAAATTTATGACTTAACTATATTCTTTGTTTCGTTTGTAATAAAGACGTATGAGGTGAAGGTACTTTTTACGCACTTTAGATATAATTTTTTTTGCCTTCTATAATCATTATATCTTGAAATTGGCCCTTTAAACAATTTCCTTGATGTCAAGAACTTACTCTTCTTTTACATGAGTTTTATGTATCTCAATAAGTGTTAAGGTTTACCATGGAGCACTTCTTCTGTGTGGAAGTTGCAGATTGTGTATATGTTTCTCGAGTAATACTGTTGAGAAGGGACAGGGAAATAAAAGCACTATTAATGTCGCACGGGTTACCATGAAGTCTTGCATTTTGGACTATACCCATAGGCTTAATACTGCCCCAGGCAGAAATGGCTTGCTTTGGTTGGCCCTTTTATCATCATATCATATTGCTCCATTGGAATGAATTTGATCTGCATGTATCTAGTTGCCAATGCGGAGTCAAGGACTAAATTTCTAGCAGTGCCTCCATGTTCAAAAGCCTCATGGTTCAGTACATGTAGCAACAGTAACATTTGAGTACAGATCTAGAATGAAAATCAGGGAAATGAAAAACTGGTCCTTACCATGTTTGCTCTGAAAGGATTCCTGATGGATAACCTGTGGAAACTCAGGCCTCTAAAAAGATTGTAGGGAACCTGTTTTTTGAGACTATTATCATATATTAATCATTGTGCAATGATTTATGGTTCAAATTTGCTAGGATATGTTGATGCACCTGAACACGTGTTATGAACTGTATGCTAAGTTTCTGGATATTAAATTCACTCGATTCTTTTCGCATTATGTTTTTCTTCAATGAGTAGTTTTGTCGGTACGGAAGCAGTTTCCCTTGGTATTGTTATTTCATAGCTTCTCGTTATCAGTTGGGTTCTCTAGCAAGGGTAGATTTGGCTTTAGTACTAGAGATTAGATTTTCCATGTATTTTCAGCTGTTTCACAGTTTCTCCCTAGTTCCAAATTGTAGGATAACCATCCTTGTATGCGTTTTCCAGAGATAAAAAAGAGACTTTGAAACTCGGGTATCAAAAGTGTAAATGAATGAAAACTCGAGTACACCTTTTCTTGCATGATTTGATGTATTGATGTATGCCTCTTACTATAGAGGGGACAGCCTTTCTTGAGGGAACGATTTGAATGGTGCAGGCACGACAAGTTATATTCGATGTCGTTTATCTTTTCATGATTATTTTAGTGTAAATCATTGTTGCCATTCTGCTTTCATATTCAGTATTTTTCTTTTCTTTCTTTTGTTAGCTCCAACATATATTGTTATCACCTGATTTTGATAAGTGCATCTCTTCTGTTGACAGAGTATATCATTACCATTTTTCCTTCTTCTTCTTCTTTCTCTGGCGATGGGCATTGTTCTGAACTACACGATGTTCCTCTGCACCCTAGTAAATTCCGCTTTGACAACCACCATTGTTGGCGTTCTCAAAGGGGTTGGATCAACGGTATGTTCGATAGCATTAACTGTTCTTTTCAGTTGTACATAATCGAGTTCGGTTTTGTTGTGGCCAAGCCGCCTTGATATCTTTGATTTTGTTCAGACCTTTGGTTTCATCTTATTGGGAGGTGTGCAAGTTCATGGATTAAACGTCACTGGATTAGTAATCAACACAGCAGGCGGTTTGTTGTATTCTTACGCAAAATATCAGCAAAAGAGGACCAAGTTGCCGAAGATAATGTCGGATGTAGAAGGCCATCGAAAATAATTAAAAAAAGAAGAAGAAGGAATGCTTTGTTTCGTTTAGTGAACCATTTTTTGCTGTAAGAGAGCGAAGCTTTGTAATGCCATTCAAATGAATGAACGTGATACAAGGAATAGGTCAAATGCCAAAACAAAACAGGGACTAGGAAAGGAAAAACAATATGATGGAGGAGGATATTGCACAAGATAAATTATTGAAAAGGAAATTTTATTTTACTTTTTGTATGTTGAAAATATGTATCAAGTGCATTTGTTAAACCAAGACACACCCCAAGTTACATGTTACAACATTTTTATTTGATTCTTTTCAATGTATGGGAGTTATTCAGTGGCAATGAATTTATATTTTATTCATTTTCTGAGCAACATAAGTAAAAATACAATGTAACTGATTCTCTAAAGTAATTCCTGTTTTACACTAGATTAGGCAATTAAAGTTATGTTTCGATTGCAAACTGTTATTTGTTTAGATTTGGTTTGTGAAATTCATATAATTAGTAAAAGACCACAAATTAGGGGGATTGGTACGTCTTATGTGATACTTTCCAGTTACACATTCTAAACACTGTCTCTAAGTATTGAAATTTTTGTTAATACATGTACCACAAAATCATATGTTCATGTTATCTAATTTTATTTTGAAATTTTAATTTTTGTATTTGTATATAACTGTTATATAATATATAACTAAAGCAAATATAAATGGTGTATGTATAAAAACACAAAAGTATGCCCTTAATGCTAGTTATGTCCGGCGCGTTGTGGGGAATTTTTCGTTATTGTTAAATACTAGTATCTATAGTATTTAATTAAAACAACAAACAAAAAGGACATGTGTCAGTACCATAATGAAAATTTTTTCGCCAAAAGTTATTTTCAGTACAAAATTATTTTTGACACGTGGCACTCTAACTAATTAGAAAAAAAAGATAGAATAGATAAATACATAAATCTCTTAATTATAGCTACATAAAAATATCTTAATTATAAGTATATACTAATCCCTTAAAACAACAATATTTAGTTGATAAAATCAAATGTAAGGAAATCCCCTTAAATCAAGTGAAACACCAGTAATGCCTTCCTAATACCCAATTTCAAAGAATCTCTTCCATTCTGCTCCTCTCTCACACCCGGACCTTTTAATCAATTACTTAAAATCTGACATCAATTATTAATCCATCTCTTTATACAACAGAAAAAAAAAATAAACTGTCATTAAAGAAATTTGATTTTTTAAGGATATTTTTTTTTATTCTTCTGTTGTAGATATTGATCTATGATTTATGTAAACCCAGACATAAGTGTTATAAATTAAATGTTGTAAATATGGGCATAGATTTATGTGTAATAACTCATTTTCTGTCCTTTAAATCGATTTTTTATTCTTCTAATTTTTTTTATTCTTTTAAGAATAATTCGTATTTTTTATTTAATTAATTTAAAAATACAGACGACACTCCGGGCATTCGCGTAGGGCAAGCATCTAGTTAATTATTTATTGTCATTGATCATTTAATCTAAATCAATATAGCGCGGAGTGCGCGGAGGAGGACAACCACTCACGGGTGATTATTAATCTACAAAGCCAAAGGCCTATTTCCTACCAATATTCTTGAAAAGAATAAACCCTCACACAAAAGTTATTCATGGAAATCGGCTTTGTTTCGAAACAACTTGGATATAGGTTCACTCATTATTCATGGAAATCGGCTTTGTTTCGAAACAACTTGGATATAGGTTCACTCATTAGCGATTCGAACAGGGATTTTTTACCTTCTCTCAGGAGACAAAAGATATCAGGCTTTTCACCACAAGATTTGAATCATATTGATAAATCAAGGTATGGAGGACTTTTGTGCCTCAGTACTAGTGCTCTTTCATGTTCATGATCGACGAGGAGAATTCGAGAAAAGTTCTGGGTTTTTTTTTTTTTTTTTTTTCTTTTTGGAGTAGTACTAATTCGAGTGACAAGCCACATACATCTACACATTATACAAAGTGCGGAAGCACTTTTTTGTGTACTTAAAGGCCAATTGCCGGTCATTTATGGACACGTGTCGCTCCTTATTTGTTTACCCCTCTGCTTCTCTCTCCTCCCAATTCCTCCGTAGCTTGCAACTCCATCCGGTTGCCAGTCCGGATATTGGCACGGTTGCTAATGCCGTCTTCAGACTTCTTCTGACTTCTTCTCCCTTTGTTACCCATTTCGGTTGCCTGTGACAGAAAGGTTGTGGCGTCGTGCCTCGGAAATTGGTTTTACTCCATACCTCCGATTGTATTCCGTTGTTCACCGCCCCATATCTTCTGTTTCCTTATTTTTAAAAATGAAGAAACTGGCTGCCGTTTCACGTTAATATTCTTCTTCGCTAATATTGCAGTCTGATTTATGCTTCAGGCCAAGTGGAATTGTTTTAAGTTGCGATTGGGTTTTAATTTTCTCCTTCCTTTGATTTGTCTTCGATTTGGAGGTTAAATGAACGTGATATAGTTTCATAGAGTTGTGTTTATAAAACATGCATACGAAGTGTTTGATTATTGTTTTCAATGACTTATGACTTAATTAATAGTAGTATTGTCACAATTGCATTGCACAAGGGTTTGCCTAATGTGTTGTTGGAGCGGTGAAGATAGTTGAAAGCTTGCAATTGACACGGATCGGCTTAAAATCTGTAATTGAGCCTTTGTTTTACCTATATCTGAGAAGTGTGATCTTATGGGTTTTATTACTTCTACTTTTGACACTGAGGTTATTTTATTTAGTCTGTTAGAATTCGTAGACCTGTAGAAGGTTTATTAGCCAAGAGAAATTACTTCCGAAAAGGTAAAAAGCGTTCATGTTTCTAAAAGATGCTTGAGACTTGGTAGTTGCTGATAGTATTAGATATTCACTTGATTTTGGGAAGAAACTCACCAATGGTGTTTACAAGGTCTCTTTTTTTTTCCTTCCCACTTGATTACAAACCGTCATAATTTGAACTGCTGGGAGTAGTTTCTTGGAAATGCCCTGCTTAACTTTTGTTATTTGAATAAATACCTCATTTTGAAACTTGAGCTCTATATTCTGATTTATCATAGTTTTGTGAGATCTATAAACATGTGGCATAGACGGTTTTGTGTTCTTGGAAAATAGTAATTGGAATCCAGTCCTATAGAATAGCCTAATTGATTTCATGCGTTCAAAGTGTTTGATTTTATGTCACTAAAAGTGTTATGTTGCATATAATTTTGGTTGAGTTTCTTTTGATTCCTGGATGTTGGCTTTGAGTTTTTTATCCCCCTTTTTATTTCACACACCATTGGATTATCATTCATGAAGTCATAACTGCATCAAACAGAACTTTTCTTATAAGATATTTCTTATGTAATGTTTGTTTTGTATTAATATTCATTGCCAAAAGCTTGCTGGTTGTGTCTGCACGAAAATAAATATGGAATCAATAGTATTCTTCGTCTTGTCTCCCCCCACCTGAGCAGCGGTGGGTTGCTTTCTTCATCACGCATCTAAACTCCTAATCTGGGACTTGACAACAGTGGTGCTGCAGCAGCAAACCTTTTATCAATTTGGTTAGTTTAAATGCTCTCTGTATACGTTTATCTTTTCTAGGTCTACACGGAATGGTTATTGTTGTACATCATAACTTGCATTAAGTTTCTAAACTATGCATAAGTATTCTGACATGAGATTCTGTCTACATCAACCTCTGCATTTCGTGCTTTGTAATTTTGATGCATTTTCCATCATTTTTGTATTTGATTTGTCCAACTGAATGCTATATTTGCTTGGAATACAAGGCTCAAATACTCTGTGATGTTGATGAGCAAGTGTGCATGGAAAGTGACTGAACATCACGGACCAATTCTATAATTGCAGGCACTTCCTGTCAGCCGAACAAGCAAGCTGAGGTCAAAGCATGCTTGAAGGCAATCGATGAGGCCTGGAATCATGGTTTTGAGAATCGTGATTGAGACGATTTGTGCTTTATTGGTGAACTCACATTTAGCAGTTGAAGACTGTTCGGTGGGAATACAAGGTTTAGTGCAGTAATTGCTTTTTATCAAGTCTAGGTTTCAAACATGTGATATAGTCGAAATATAGTGGAGGAAGTGCATCAGTTAGCTAACCATGAACGTTGTAATTGTGCGATTTTAATAAAAAGTGTGTTAAAAGAAAAAGGAAAAAATTATGTATAGCAAATTCATGTGGCGTCACAATTTTGCAAAACAATATAATATGACAATGGTAAATTCATAGATCGGACAATACTGCATTAGAGTGAGTAAATTCTTCCGAAATACCGCACCTCGTGCGGTGCATTCATGCTAGTTTTCCATAAATTGTGTTTTTAATTTGATTGGTTTCTGTTTGTCATATTATTAGACTTTTATTTTTAGCTATAGTTAAATTCAAACTAAATTTAAATCAAATTTTTTGTTGGGTAAATACTAAAAGATAGTGTATTCGAAATGGCAATAATAGAAGATGGAAAGATTATGAGGAAATTCGAGGCTCGTGAAAGACACGATTTCTTTAAGACAGATTAGCCCTCTCCCGAATGTGCAAGAGATTTAGTGAGCTTCTATCTCCCAGGATATAACGAATTCGTAAAGATTCCTTTGCACTAAGGATCTTCACCAGCGAACTAGAACTTTAGAATTCAAAGAACACCAAGAGAAATGGGCTAGAAAGGCTAAGAAGAAAGCTAAGAGAGCTTGGAAATTTTTGGATGATTTGTTTGTTAAAAATGAGCCACTATTTATAGGTGACGAGTTACTTGAAGTAGTAGAATTGTTCTATTCATTCTCCCAAGTTAATTCAATTAACTTAGTTAGATACAATGTTTCACCAAAACCAAAGAAGTTTCATTCATGAACTTAATCTAACTATGAATATGAACATTCATCCCCTTACATCCCATTAATATTGATTCATGAATTTAGTTCATTCATATGAATCTGTAAGGACTCTTCATCTACTTGGAAAATAAATCAAGATAGGTTCATGACTCGGGTTGATTAGATCCGACGTACTCATGAACTCAAAGGTTTTATACCTTTCATGTAATGTCTCTAATTTCATTTTCCAATTAATGAGAAACCAAAATTCTCATTCACATTAGCTCAAATTCCAACAATCCCCCACATGAATGAGATATTGTTTCGAATTAGTAATGGTATTCATTGACTGATTCCTGCATGGGGAGAAAGTAGATGCTACTCTTTGAACTTCCTCCTTGTAAAGTAGCTTGCTTTACTAGCTGTCCAGTAGACGCGATGTCCTTGAACTGTCCGGCTGTATTGTGTAAAGAAATTCACGTACAATACACAGGAACCATTCCTTTATGTCGTTCTGTTCTCATGATTTTGTTCATTTTTGTCCATGAACACGTCCTGGTTCTGTGAGAGTTTCTAAAGAACTGAGCCTCACCAGTTCTCCTTTGAAGCGACCCCACTTCTCTCTCACATAGGTGACTTCTTAAGTCTAGAGCAAAGTTTATTACTCACTTAAGTGTCATTAAAGCAACCATTTGCTATCCTTTCTATTATATCATTGTTTTATGACA